AAGTTTGGTATCTGGCACTACCAATATGCATCATGGGATTGCCAGTGGAACACAAGACTTGTCTTTATTGTTTTGCCATAAGCATGCCTGAAATGGTTAACATTTCATGTCAATTTATGTTATGCAAATGTTTAGCCCAATAAATCGGCGGTATGGTATCTAGAGATATGTTTTCGATGCAATGATAAATATATCTAATTTGTTTTCCAAGCACATGAATCAAAATGGTGTCCTGCATATATGTAATTGAAAGTGCTCCTAAGGGAAAGTACATTAATGAGCTTTCAGGATAGACCTTTTTAATATCCCTAGTGGCCTCAACAGAAAAGTTTTAAGGCCTAAAACAGGGACCCATAGGACCCTTATTCGTTGCTCTTGTTGATCATCTATCTGCCATGATGATGATATATAGATGCATACGTTTAACTAGAATAAGTAATAGAAATGGATGATTCCCAACGTTCTCACGCAAACAGATAACAACTATAGTAGTTTCAGGGCTTTCTCAAGTTTGCGCAGAACGAAACGGCGTTCCGGACGAAAGGCGTCATCTGTGCATTCCCCCCTACCCCTTTAAAATAATACCGCAAACTCCGCGAAATGGTCCTTTCCCCATGGTTTCGACTCTGGATATCGCCCTTCTCACTCTCCTCTTACGACGGTTCTTGTTATTATACCCTGGACATTCCATATTTGTTTGTCTTACAGCAATATCACTGCATGGTATGAAGATTTGTTTCAAGTTTAAGCAAATAATTAAGTATGTTGTGAAAAAAAAAAAACAAAATAAAAAATTTCTATTCAAATAAAGATTTAATTTTGCATGTTATATTTTGCACAACATGTAAGATCTGTTACAGATTATCATGAAAACAACAAAAACTACAACAACACCAACAGAGAGGATATATTTATATCATGAAACGTAAAATATAAGACTAGAAGTGGATTTTAGAAATTGATCCGGAAAAATGCCAATACAGCTACACGACCTCTTCAAGGACTCCAGGTAAATTAATTCCAAACGAAGATAAATTACTTCCATGCAAAATAAATTTAAAATGATTGCTATGATCCTAAATCAACTGTAGCGAAACTGTTGCGTACCTTAAAAATGAACTGTTTGATATATTGCAGAAACCTAAAGCTCTACTTATAATTGGGTTTGAAAATGAAACAATACAAACAATTGTCTTGCTTCACTTCATCCATGGCTGAAATCATATATAGAAATCAATACAAACTTCATACAAAATGTCATCAATGAACTGAAGGAATAAAAACTTCTTCAAACTCTTGAATACTAAAGTGTTTTGGGAGACAAATGAGAAATATCAGGACAAGACTAAATGTGTCCAGATGTAACCTACAAGTGTCAGATGCTACATTCTTTGCCTGGAAGACAATAATGGATGATGAAATGCTATGGTTATTATGAAAAACAAAGCACATCAAACTTTCGAATCCATTGTGATTTTATTGTATGCAACAACTATCCAAATGAATAATGTATAGATTTGGACTACACCAAACTGATAGCATAACGACGACCACTTGGGACTGTTGGTAACGTTACCACGTCTCTGTTCATTTAAACGATTTGCATGAAAATATCAAACAAAATATAAATTTAGATGACTCTAAAAAAACTTTTAAAAGAGTAATGCGTTTAACATGCCACAGATCAACTAAAAGGCTGCAGGAGTTTTCAAGTACAAACGTCTTTAAACCTCTCTTCAAAAACGTGACCCGACTATATAAACTGTGCGGAACAAAATAAATGCTACATGTCACTAACCTTGACCATACACAAATTGTGCGGGCCAAAATACATGCTACAGGTCACTAACCTTGACCATACACAAATTGTGCGGGCCGAAATACATGCTACATGTCACTAACATTGACCATACACAAATTGTTGTGGCCTAAATACATGCTACATGTCACTAACATTGACCTTACACAAATTGTGCGGGCCAAAATACATGCTACATATCACTAACATTGACCATACACAAATTGTGCGGGCCAAAATATGACCATACATATTTCTAAAAATATTTCATCTTTGCATCATAATCACCATAGTTTTGTTATTTACCTTGGTGATTTGTTAAATTTTAGAATCACGTAAACATGAATTATCAAAAACATGTTATAGCCTTTCAAAATTTGACTTCATGAGCTAAACCGTGATCGTCCTTGATTCAAGTTTGTAACGTGTCATAATACATTCCTGAACTCTTCAAAAGTATCACGTCATCGTTTGTAGTTTGTTCTTACGCATTTGTCGTGAAGGTCAACGAGTGTGTTCTGTCTGAGGTGTGCCACCACATGATCAATAGACAGTTAATCGCTATCTCATATTTAACAGCCACTCAGACTTTCAACAAACCCTTGGTTTATTAAAGGTATTCTGGGGTGGGATGGGGTGGGGTTGCTGTCTCTACAAAAATCCTTTATATATATATATATATATATATATATATATATATATATATATATATATATATATATATATATATATATATATATATATATATATATATATATATATATATATCTATATATATATATATATATATATATATATATATATATATATATATAAAACAAACTTACTTATCTGCATTTAAATTTTGTAGCCACTACACTAAGAAATTCTAGAAATACGGAAGTGTACTTTATTTGAAATCAAGTAGAAATGAAAATTGCCCCAAACTATGTTTTGTGCAGCGTGACGAAGAGCTTTGGGTTTTTATACAGTAGTTGAGAACTTGTCTCGGGAAGATGTACTAGGGTGTTTTGTCGTTTGCTTATTATTAACGAAAGTTTTTCAGCAAAGTGTAGATGACTAATAAGAGAACTGTTACTTTATTTATTTATTTACTTATTTACACCCGAGAAGACATTACGACTATAAGCTGAATTACTGGTCCATCCCTGTCATAAATTATATTCTAAACAGCAAACAGTAGGCTTATATACCGCTTTCTTGGATGCGGGTGGGGGTAAAGAGAGAGAGAGAGAGAGAGAGAGAGAGAGAGAGAGAGAGAGAGAGAGAGAGAGAGAGAGAGAGCAGTAATTTTCATTAAACGGAATATTCACAGTTCAAAATGGAAATACAAGAAGCTGCAATGAACTGTCAATTGACCTATTAAACTTTGTTTGCTTCAGAAATTTCGATGGAAGAAAAAATAGTTCATACGATCATTTGTTTCTTAAAAAAATAGATGTAACGTCTAGACTTTCGATTAAATACACCAAGTAAGGATGGTTTGTAATTGAATCAAGTAGACCAGGTGATTCAAATTTTGCAATGTCATTAAAACAATATTTTGATAAGGCTATTAAATTTCGTATGTAACTTATACTAATCAAGGCTTATGTGATGTCAGTGCCGTCTTAAGGCATGGGCACACTGGGCACTCGCCCGGGGCCACACTCTTCTAGGAGCATCATACTGCCTATATTGTTAATGAATAGCAAGGCTGGTAGAAGCCCCAGTGGATTGCTTTGACCAGATCATGCAATGTTCTAAGACGGCACTGTGTTATCCTGACTTCCAGTTATTAATGCGCATCTCTGAAAAACAATGTCCATTCAGGACAAAACTCCGTAGCACAATATCCTCCTTGGACACACCCTTTCCAGCAAAATAAAAGATAAGTCACAATCCCCCACCTTCTTAGTCTAAGCTTAAGCCTTTTTAAACCATACCATCTCAAATATACATCTTTGTGTGTCGGCTTATGTCCTTTGATGTTTCCCTTTAGGAGATAAAAGACTTATAGCAATCCGGTTACGCGTTAGGTCTTAATATACAAGGTTAGTAAGATGCCTGATCACGATCGTTTCATCTAAAGAGTATGAATGTGCATGTGATTTGTCTCCTCGCTTTCACAAGTACTAAGTTGGCTGTATTTTACCATTTTTGTTATTATTATTTTGGGAAGTATTTACAAGCTGAGCCGTAGTTTTATTGGATAAACATAAAATTGTATAATTAAATTAAATCGGAGGTATATTGATGATACGTCACATTTAATTTAACCCCTATCCCGTTTCAATATAAGCCAGTATACTTGTAACGGTTAATGCTTGGGAGGGTATATGTCCAGTACCGGATTTAGAACAAATGTGGTCCTGTACTAGTCAAGTTATGAGGCCCCTTAAAATGAAAAATATCATCGTAATTTATTTTTGCCAAGTAGATGCCCCTCTCTATCCCCCCCCCATCGGCCAACAGGGGCCATGTACTTAATTAAGCACACCTAAGCAAAATGGTACTGGATATGTCCCACCTTTCATGGGGAAAGAGGATAGGTGTTCGAAGGGAAATTTGCCTTGGGATATTTTATCCTGTGGGATTTTGTCTGCCCCACCCCATTTCATGAAGTCTAAAAACTCTTCTGTGTTTGCAAATAAAGTATTGCAGGTCAAATAGCGTTGTGTATCAGTTTCATTGCGTGTGTAATATATGCCAAGATAAGCATCTGATTGCTGGATTTATCACAACATGATATCTAGACGTCCGTTTTAATAGTTTATAAAGGCTGCCTTATCGAATGGCAAATTTCCCATTTATACGCTTGAATATTCCTCCATAAAACTCAATGCATTATTTGGTGACCTGCTTTCCACAACTGCCACAAGGCAATCACTCGAGTATATCGATCGTGCAACTGAAGCAGTTTGTTTTCCTAAAAAGGTCATTGTTTAAGTCAGGATCCGTCACGTAAACTGGTGTGTAAATATTCCATATATTTCCGATCTTGCCTATATTGACCCTACTCAAGTCAGTATATCAGTTTTATATTTGCTAATATATCTTGATTTTTATTTTAAGGTTTTGAATGAAGCCTCATTGCTTATAAAATTGTTGTTGGGGTATATGCTTGATGTAAATTGTGATGTAGGAATGTTGACAAAATTAGGAGCCCTCAAAAAAAACAGCAGAGAGCAAGGGTAATATGCTAGCAGCTAGTAAACGGTATGACTATTCCGGTTGCCTAAGTGGTTAGAGCGTCCGCCTCAAATGCGGAAGGTGGCGAGTTCGAACTCCGGCCGAGTCATACAAAAGACAAAAATGGTACTAAAAGCTGCCTCGCTTGGTGCTTAGCATTAAGAGATTAGTTTTAAGATTGGTCGCCCTGGTGTCAGGATAATGTGACTGGATGGGACATGGTGCTACATGTCTGCGGCATGATGCCCCAGTACTAGACATCACTATAAATTGCCAATTGCCACACTGCAGACGTCATAGAGATATGATTGAAATATTTTTAAAGATACATTAAAAATCCAAATCACACAAAGAAAAACAAACACAGTAAACAGTATAAGAAAACTCGTGCAATTCGTTACTAATTTGGTAATTAAAAAAATCGTACAAACTATCTAAAGAGATACTGGAATGTGATTTCGGCAAGAAAATAAAGCCTAATCAAAGAAATAGTGGTCTACGCATTATATACTGTCATATACATCAACACATTATACCTTATCATGAAAGCGTTTCAGTGTGGTCAACATATGATGTGGGAGGTTGAAGCCGGGAAGGCAGATAGCGCTTAGCTACGAGGGACTGGTTTACAACATCTGTTAAAGAATACACGAGACTCCAGTCCGAAACAGCTATCATATCCTCCGGCAACGAAAATAACCAGACCGGGGGTGTCGAAGTCAAACCGATTGCTGGATGTTAAGTGATGTTCATTTACAGCGGAAGTTTCTCACTGGCATAGACCTTATTAGCCAACACTTTTGTGGTTGCTTCCTGGCGACGCAAATGTGGAGAAGGAATATTGCTGAGTACCGGAAGCCATGGTAAAGGAGTAGGATGAGGTGTTCCAGAGATTATACATATTTGTTTGAGTTGAGCTGGACATCAATTAACTTTTAGTTGGGATGACTGAGCCCAGACAGGAGCGCAATACTCTGCTGTCGAATAAGACAGAGCCAGCAATGATGTCTTGACTGAGCACTAGCGCCCCAGGTTGAGCCAGCCAGTTTGCAGAGTAGATCTTTTCGAGTGCTAAGTTTTGCTGCAGTTTTCTTCGGGTGTTTGTAGTATGTTAGTGATCTGTCCAGAGTCACACCAAGGTATGTTTGTATCGGATCGTGTTTTATTTGATGACCATTGAAGTTTATGCAAAGCTCACGGTTCGCATTTGCATTGCTAAGGTGGTAGACGATGAAGTCTGTCTTTGTTGCGCTTGGCTATAGAAGATGTTCGTCATATCCTTCAGGTCTTTTTCCGGTACCACATCAAGCTCAGCAAATGAGCGACAGTGGGTCATCAGAGCAATGTCGTCTACATATATGAATTGTGTTACAGGTACGTCGTTGATATAGACATTGAACAAACATATCTAAAGAACATACCCTTGTGGGAGTCCATTAGTCTGACGTCTCCACGAGCTGCAACTCTCTCTCTCTACTCTCTCTCTCTCTCTCTCTCTCTCTCTCTCTCTCTCTCTCTCTCTCTCTCTCTCTCTCTCTCTCTCTCTCTCTCTCTCTCTCTCTCTCTCTCTCTCTCTCTCTCTCTCTGTTGGGCACTCTGAAGCACCTGTTGAGAAGAAACAGTTCAATAGTCTCAACTATCCAGCGCGACGATTCTCTGAAAATCCCAGTTAGATCCAGAAAAATAACTTCATACTAATACTAAGCTTCATCTCAAACCCGTTTTTAAAAAATGTAGTCATGACAAGGACTTAATCGCAAATGCTACTGCAATGCCTGAAGCCTGCTTGTTCAACAGGTATGATATTCTCCAAGTCATGTCCAACTATTTGGAGAATCAGTCGCTAGAGTTCATTAAAACAAACAGATCGCAGAATTGTGGTGATCTTTGTCAGGCATATGAATAGCAAAAATCTTTGTCTGGCGCCACAAAGTCGGTATGTACTTTTCCATAACAACCCGGGTCTATAAAGAAACAAGCCACTCTTGTTCCTTCGGGCCGAGATGCTTCAGGAACACAAGCAGGATGTTGTCCTATCCTGCTGCTTTGCCTGATTTTATGCCGCATAGCACCGTTTCAAGTTCTGTTGCTGTAAAATGCCTTTGGAGTATTTTGATCTAGTTCATCTGATTTCCGATGGCAGTATTGTCTCCACTCATCTCGTACTTGACGTCGGTGCTGTTCCTCCAGGGGTGCTTTTGCCACTAGTAATAAGTGGCTATAAACAGCATTTGGCTTGAAAACAGGGTGAGCTTGAACTGGTCGTTGTTGAGCTGTGCCAAATCTTCTAATCAATCTCCAGTAGTTTCTGCTATAGCACGTAAAGTTAAGTGATCCTGTAGTTTCCTCTCAGCGAGTGCACCTGGCAGTGTCCAGGAAATCGATCAGATGATCTGATATTTCTTGGCCTCCAAATGCTTCATATTCCTTAAAAAAAACCCTGACATTATTCATCCAAACAGTGTATAGACTGAACGACAACAACAAGAGACAGACTGAATGGCTGCCTCGAATATGGCTCTTTGGAAGCCGTGGTAGGATTCCTTGATTGGGCTGCAGCGAGAAGGTATAGTAAATATGCTATGTTCCAGTATGTCAGTGTACTTTGTCTAATCTGTGAAGAGCTGTAATAGCCGACTGCTTGAAGTCCAGTATGGATAAGTATTAGTCTGTGCTGACTGTTTGGGAAGTCATTTTGAACAGTTCAACTTACTGGCTGAGGATGGTCACTAATGGAACTGAACTAGCACTGGTCCGGTGAGTAGTCCTTTTGACTTCTAGTAGAATGAAAGGTCCCACGTCTTTGCTTGGAGTCGTGGGTCAGAAGGAGGTGTGTTTAGCTCAAGTTGTGACTGATGATGTTGGCAATATAGATGGCTGAGTGTTCGAGATTTGGAATCATATTGTTGTCCCAGTGGGCACTGGGTGGTTTGTAGACATTAGCAACCTTATACCTTCCGACATGGACCATATTGCAGAATCTGGTAGAGGAAACTGGAGAGGCATCAGTAATGTTGCAGCGTGCATACGTAGCATGGCCGAATTCGAAGTCAGGTGTTAATGAAATAAGGTGAAAGCCTCCAATAGTGTATCGACCGGCTACCTGAGTCTCCTGCAGACAGATTATGTCAATATTATGATGGCGGGCTATAGAGTTGATGATGGTTCGTTAGGCTGCTGAGATTCCCTCAACATTAAGTTTTAAAGCTCGTAGGACCTTCCGATAGCTTTAAATTCAGCAGACATTGTCAGGTCGCGGCCTGCTTTAGGTAGTGGCACATAACTGGTTTTCATTGCTGAGTTCGGTTTGCAAGCTGGATCCTTTGTTTCCACAGCTTCGAGAGGAGCATTAGCTGAGTACTGACGGGGATCGCGATATGATGGTGAATCAATGCTCCCCACTATAATAAACATCAGCACAATATACACATTATAATGTACATCAACACATTATACACTATAATGTACATCAACTCATTATACACTATAATGTACATCAACATATTATGCACTATAATGTACATCAACACATTATACACTATAATGTACATCAACACATTATGCACTATAATATATATCAACACATTATACACTAAATGTACATCAACATATTATGCACTATAATGTACATCACCATATCATACACTATAATGTACATCAACATATTATGCACTATAATGTACATCAACACATTATACACTATAATGTACATCAACACATTATGCCCTATAATATATGTCAACACATTATACACTAAATGTACATCAACATATTTTATGCACTATAATGTACATCACCATATCATACACTATAATATACATCAACATAGTATGCACTATAATGTACATCAACACATTATACACTATAATGTACATCAACATATTATGCACTATAATATATATCAACACATTATACACTAAATGTACATCAACACATTATACACTATAATATACATCAACACTTTATACATTATAATGTACATCAACACATTATATTATATAGCGTACATCATCACATTATACACTATATTGTACATCAACACATTATACACTATAATGTACATCAACACATTATACACTATATTGTATATAGCATATTATACATTATATGGTACATCAACACATTACACACTATATTGTACATCAACACATTATACACTATAATGTACATCAACACATTATACACTATATTGTATATCAGCATATTATACATTATATGGTACATCAACACATTACACACTATATTGTACATCAACACATTATACACTCTAATGTACATCAACACATTGTACACTATATTGTGCATCAACACATTATACACTATAGTGTGCATCAACACATTATACGCTATATTGTACATCAACACATTACACACTATATTGTACATCAACACATTACACACTATATTGTGCATCAACACATTATACACTATAGTGTGCATCAACACATTATACACTATATTGTACATCAACACATTATACACTATAATGTACATCAACACATTATACACTATAGTGTGCATCAACACATTATACACTATAGTGTGCATCAACACATTATACACTATATTGTACATCAACACATTACACATTATATTGTACATCAACACATTACACACTATATTGTGCATCAACACATTATACACTATAGTGTGCATCAACACATACAGTATAATGTATATCAAAACATACACTATAATGTACATCAAAATATTATACACTATAATATACATCAACACTTTACACACTATCATGTACATCAACACATTATATTATATAGCGTACATCATCACATTATACACTATATTGTACATCAACACATTATACACTATAATGTACATACACACATTATACACTATATTGTTTATCAACACTTTATACACTATAATGTACATCAACACATTATAGACTATATTGTGCATCAACACATTATCTTATATAGCGTACATCAGATGAATTAAAACACATTTTTGTTAGTTACTGGAGGCAGGATACTCCGAATTCAACATCAGTGTTTCTTTCTTTTCTGATCTGTTTACTGATTATATTTCCTGATTGTAATGGTCTTTAAAAAACAGTTTCTAATCTAGGCAAGAACCTTTTCATTTTTGCATACATAGATGAGTATTTAACTGCAAGAAAACAAAAATATAAATATTTTTCATATATTCCATCTTTATGTGTATCTTCCAGTATGAAAGTCTTTATTCCAAATCCAGTGGGACACATCAACACTAGTTTAATTTCACATTAAATTCCCAAAACAAATGCAGTATGTTTCCTGAAAATGTTTCGAAAAGTATTTTCATCGGTATCAGACTATTTTATTGTATGCAAAAACGCATTCATTGGTAAAATTCTGTGAGTACATGAAATTTAAACATTTGCAATATTGGGTTTCTTAAAATTGCAAAAACTTGTATATGTTAGACAAGACGTTCATATGCAAAGTTACAGTTTCATTTCATTTCTTTTCTCTTGCTGATTTAGCATCGGTTTTCTAAAGCGGTTTCCCGAGGTCTTTACACCCTTTATTATTAGGAAATAAAGTTTCTAGATCGAAAGGGATAAATGGTGTGACTAGAGTTTCTAATTCGAAAGTGATAAATGGTGTGACTAGAGTTTCTAATTCGAAAGTGATAAATAGTGTGACTAGAGTTTCCAGATGAAAAGGGATAAATGGTGTGACTAGAGTTTTTAATTGGAAAGGGATAAATGGTGTGATTAGAGTTTCCAGATGGAAAGGGATGAATGGTGTGACAAGAGTTTCCAGATGGAAAGGGATAAATGGTGTGATAAGTTTCCAGATGGAATGGGATAAATGGTGTGACAAGAGTTTCCAGATGGAAAGGGATAAATGGTGTGACTAGAGTTTCTAATTGGAAAGGGATAAATGGTGTGACAAGAGTTTCCAGGTGGAAAGGGATAAATGGTGTGACAAGAGTTTCCAGATGGAAAGGGATAAATGGTGTGACTAGAGTTTCTAATTGGAAAGGGATAAATGGTGTGACTAGAGTATCCAGATGGAATGGGATAAATGGTGTGAATAGAGTTTCTAATTCGAAAGGGATAAATGGTGTGACTAGAGTTTCCAGATGGAAAGGGATAAATAGTGTGACAAGAGTTTCTAATTGGAAAGGGATAAATGGTATGACTAGAGTTTCTCATTGGAAAGGGATAAATGGTGTGATTAGAGTTTCCAGATGGAAAGGGCATAAATGATTTGACAAGAGTTTCAGATGGAAAGGGATAAATGGTGTGACAAGAGTGTCCAGATGGAAAGTGGTGTGACAAGAGTTTCCAGATGGAATGGGATAAATGGTGTGACAATAGTTTCCAGATGGAAAGGGATAAATGGTGTGACAATAGTTTCCAGATGGAATGGGATAAATGGTGTGAATAGAGTTTCTAATTCGAAAGAGATAAATGGTGTGACTAGAGTTTCCAGAAGGAAAGGGATAAATGGTGTGACAAGAGTTTCCAGATGGAAAGGGATAAATGGTGTGACTGGAGCTTCTAATTGGAAAGGGATAAATGTTATGACTAGAGTTTCCAGATGGAATGGGATAAATGGTGTGACTAGAGTTTCCAGTTGGAAAGGGAAAAATGGTGTGACAAGAGTTTCCAGATAGAAAGGGATAAATGATTTGACTAGAGTTTCTAATTGGAAAGGGATAAATGGTGTGACTAGAGTCGTTACATGTGACTGTAACATTTTTTATAAGAACTTTACACACTGAATTATTCTTTGAAAAGTAAGTAGATTCATATTGAAACTATATTTAGCTTTAAAACTATAAAAATTAATAAAAGTTTCCTGATCTGTTAGCACATAAACATGATAGATCACATTTTGTTCAACACATTCCTTATGGAAAACTGGGACCATGCATTTGTTTTTATACGATCTTCTGTACCCTTGTATTTTTCTCGATTAAAATATTCTAAGCTAATAAACTTTACACCAAAAAGCATTTCTTTCTTCTTTGTCATTATGGTTAATATCATTATATTTTCAATTCCTACGAGGATAAGGTTGTTAATCTCACATGTTAATCTCACATACGAATATATGTTCATTTCAAGGCTAATATAAATTTATCAAGGTCGACAAACCTCATATGGAAAACGTTTGATGCTCTGTGAGTTTCTCAACATTTGACTGATTCATAAAGCTGAAAAATATGATTCATTTAATTCCAAGATAATATTTTAACCTTTGCTAACTATTTAAAAAGTAAAAAAAGTAATAATTCTTTGGAGACTGGAGATGGACACAACTATAAACTATCTATCAGCAAAATACTTTACGGCAGTACTTTTTTAATGTCGGCATTGGAAGACGTGATAATCAGCTTTTACTGTTAGGAGATAAATATCATTTTAATGATTATTCACTAACACAAGTCAAAGTCAAAATATCACTACTATAGTCTGTCTTATAATTTAGAAGTAGCAGCAGAATGTAACGTTTTCCTTCAGGAAAATTTCTGACATCAGATAATGACGCTTCTATTTAGAGAAACAAATGTACTCATGTTACTAGAGTATCGCACACTGTACGCAATATACCCGCTGGTAGCCTAGTGGTTAAGGCGTCCGCCTCTGATGCTGAAGGTCGTGGGTTCTATCCCCGGCGAGACATACCAAAGACTTGACAAAAATGGTACTAACAGCTGCCTCACTTGACGCTCAGCATTAAGAGGTTAGTGTTAGCGCTGGTCGGCCTGGTGTCAGGATCATGTTACTGGGTGGGACATAATGCTACATGTCTGCCGCATAATGTTCCAGTGCTAGACATCACTATAAACTCCCACACTGCAGACTTCGTAGCGATATGACTGAAACTTTTTTTCAAGATACGTTAAAAATCCAAATCTCTCTCACACACACACATACACACACGCACACACGCACACATGCACAGTCTAATTAAAGATATTAGTGACCTTCACTCTGAGCCCTTAATACTCTACTCATCATGTTTGTCTAAACTAGGACAGCCATCATTACAAGTTTGATTTAAGTATATTTAGCATAACTCTAGTTATTGCACCAAAACCTATTTCCCTTTTTCATATGGCAGTCATCGTGATCTTCGGCTTAATTAATCAGTTTGCTTATCGATAGGTCGAAGCAATTTTACGACAGTCAACCATAACGAACCCCATATCAAAAGAGTTACTTCTCTCCTACAGAGAAATCCACCAGCAAAATTTGGTAAAGGTATGTCTAGTAGAAATTGCAGCGTTGCATTAATGCAAATTTACTCGTTTTTGTTTGTGTTATTGACTCTTGAATGTTAAACCCAAACACAACAGATTTTTTGGTCTCCGACAAAGTGCAAAGAAACACAGTTGGAACGATTTTTAAAGTACGTGAAGTATTTTCGGTTGGTTGGTGGGGTAAGGATGTTTTTCAGTACATAATCGACTATACGTGGAGGTAGATATATATTTGGTGGAGGAAGAACCACCGACCTGGGGACCTGGGTGGCTGGGTGGTCGCAGACACTCGCTTTTATGGACTCCTCAGATCTCTTCTCTGTCCGCGTTAGTTCCATTCTCGGTTCGATCAACGTGGTCATATGAGAAAGCTTATTAGTAGCTTACTGTTGGTCTGTGATTCTTCCCAGGATCTTTTCTAGTTCTTCCTCCACCAAATATAATAACCACCATGTATACCCTACCAAATGCTTAACAGCGGCGTTAAATCCCAGAAGCCCTCCCCACGACTAGAAAATAGAGAAAAAAAAGGACACCGACCTACGAGAAGCTACCGATACCGACAGTCTTTCTCAAATACCCACGTTGGTTGAGTCGAGCCTGGACCTCACGATGACAGAGGTTAGATGTGTGAGGAATCTGCAAAGAAGATCCTTCAACAATTAGATTACCCTTGACTCCTGAAAATGTGTAAATCAAAAATCATTGGTATTGCAGGTTACTTGCTAAACCTTTGACTTTTTTATCGCTAACTTAATAGCTGTTTGTTTTTGGGGAACCCATTTTCAATGTTATGAAAAGCAGAAATTTCCGTTGTAGCAAGGAAACCAAAATGCCAACAAACGGAAGGAAAGACGTGACTATAACACTGGCGCCTTACGGCAGTCGAAAAAAATTGATCTTTAATATCTTTGCTCGAGGAAATGTTAGAATCGCAGAAATTTGGGTATTGTTTTGTTTGCATCTCCACATTCATGTCAAATTTTTATACTGTCTTGTTTGTATTTCCTCATTCACATTAAATTTTGGTACTGTTTTGATGGTATCTCCACATTTATGTCACAGTTTGGTACTGTCTTGTTTGTATTTTCACATTTACGTCAAATTTTGGTACTGTCTTGTTTATATCTCCACATTCATGTTAAATTTTGGTAATGTCTTGTTTGTATTTCCACGTTCACATCAGATTTTTGTACTGTCTTATTTGTATTACCACGTTCACATCGAATTTTGGTACTGTCTCGTTTGTATCTCCATAGTCACGTTAAGTTTTTTAATAATGTTAAAATACCTTTTGATTGTTTCATTTGAACTTATTTTTGTTTGAACTACAGCACTGTGTGCTCAGCCAATTCCGTGAATACTGTGCCTGGTGTTGTGGTAAAGAAGTCAATCGATATTGTCTGCAGGGAGTACTAACCCGAAGGATTACACTTGTAATCCCAGAAGGAAGGAAACCTAATTCGATATTTCTCTCAATCCTCTGGTGTTTATCTGGATTCTATCATCGTAAAGTTTGATAAACACGACTATTGAGTGGCACTCTTATGACCGATCGTTACGTGTGCCAACGCTATTCATCAGCGTTGAACAAGTATTGGTACTGAATGACCCGAGTTTAAATATCGTGCGCTTTCATTGTTCAGAATACAATTATTATACGAGTATGCCCGTGGCTTTATATGTGCGAAAATGGATTAATAACCCTTTATGTGCCAAATATTTACATAGGCGTTTGCTTTTGCAAATACCTAGAATTTAATTAATAACGTCATCATATTACTGTAAATCTGAATAAGTATCGTCAGTCAATATACATAGTTTTTATAAGTTTGAGTTTCTACAAAGAAGTCCATATTAACAGTGTTGTTGTTGTTTGTTGTTGTTGTTGTTGTTGTTGTTGTTGTGGGTTAAATCCATTTTCAGAACACGAATAGCTGTACATGGCGGCCAGGAGGATGATAATCCCAAGAAAACCCCGGGAGGAACCACTGACCCACGGAAAAGCTACTGGCAAGCTTATAACATGTCCACGTTGATCGAATCCGAAACTCTAACCGATTCGGACAGAAGTGACATGTCAGTGACCTATAAAAGGGAGCGCCTTTGACTACTCGGCCACCTGCACCCCCTCCCCAAGAATGGTGCATTATATTTGTTCAATAGAGAAATTATTGCTTTTAGACTTACTGAATCACACTTCCAATTAGTGCAGTTGTGAACGATTTAATATGCAAGTAAATTTGTTGGTCAAATGACGAATGACTTCAACTGTACCGAAGCTAATGTAAATACAATATGTGCCAGCCACGGGAATGTACCCAGGGTTTAAGTAAATATTACAATTTATAATTTTCTAACTGTTTTGTCAGCCGTTAAGCATTAACAGTCATCGAGAACGAGTGCTCTGTAGTAATCGAGATTGAGAAAAAGTCTTGAACGCAATCTGGGGATTATATAGGTTGAGCTGTAATAATCGAGGGCGATCTGTTAAATAAAATAACGGCGAACAGACACTATTATAAATGTAGTCGGAGTAACTGAAAGATAGTAACGCGTGCAAACGAGAGAACTCTTTATATTGAGGGAGTAAAAAAGAGATTCGGAGAAATTGAGACAGAATGAAAAAGAACGAGTTGGATTTATTGTTTGAGAGAGGTAGTAGTGAAATTTGGAAAGGGAAAATGAATGAGATAAATAAAAAAAGAAAACATTTAGCTTATATGCGCATCAATGTTTGTGAGCGTTCTCTCAACTCTTTTGTTCAAATTATGGAGCATGCACCATCTACTCGGGCGTGATGTCAGTGTAATTCATACAGAGAAACGATCGCTCTACAACGTTGCAAATGACATCGTACAATAGCACAATAACAATACAGAGTGGAACTTATATGAGTGCACACTTCAAATGCAATTTTCAAAAGAATATAATAACTTATATAATTTTCGGGCCTTGGCAAGCATAAGATTTAAAAAAAAGGAATTTCTTACATTTTTTTAAAATGAGCACAAATGTAAGATTCTATTTTTCTCACTACGAAAAACGCTGATTTCATTTTAACTAACAGCAAATAGCGCATTGAAATGACATTCATATACATTAACAGACCACAGTCTGTGTATATTAGAGTATGTAAAAACACTGTAATCATGTAAGAAAACAACTGTCAATTTATTTTAATATAGAAAAATCGAACCACAAATTTTCGTCATCAGCCTTCTCTTTCTGGTATGTCAACAGAGTAAGTAGCCAGTCAAGCCACACAGACAAGGAAAAATATTCTCTTACCTCTCGTTTTCTGAGAGCAGTTCCACCGAACCCGCGCCATGCATATTATCAACAACTCACGGAGATAATTTGCTTGCTTTCGGGCTGTCGTTTAGTAGATGTACCGTATTTCAAAGTCAGAGAAAGCTATAAACTGATTTCACAGGTACAAGATAATCAAACTTTCACCTAGATAATATGAATTCAAATATGTTTATCCGTCTCATCCTAAATGGAAGTTATTATTTTAGTGTCAATATTTTTTTCTCAATGTGTGCGGTATAGTACCTTTATTTGGCTCAGTTTGTTTGCATGAATACTTAAATAGTACTTGACATAAATGTATGTTCTTGATATAAATTTCACCTGCTAATTTTGACCTAGTTAGAGTTTCAAGCTATCTGAATCATTTTCGATATCTGTCAATACACTGGACTAATTAAAGTTAATTGATAATTGTATATTTGACTGCCACGTTTTTTATGATTTAATAAAAAGAAGGTTTATGACGCTTAGAAACCATTGGCAACACAGGTATGACAAAAAAGCAAATGATGTTTCTGTGTATTTTGCTTACATGCTTACGTATCATGATCAGATATTTGTGTCTTTCTGCATATATATATATATATATATATATATATATATATATATATATATATATATATATATATATATATATATATATATATATATATATTCATTTTACTATCATCAAAACCTATACTAACTATAATGGTCACGCGTATTATGGGAATGATGTTGCATCTGTTATGTTGAATTTCTTGTCAATTTAGATACAGTTGGGTGGGGATAAATTGAGTTTTGTGAAAAGTCATTAGGTTTAGAAGTTGATAACAGAAAACAGAACAAAAGTGTGATTTAGAGTAAAATATATATGCAAGGAGACAATATTTTTATTACCTTTTGTATAATAGCCATTAACTTCTTGACTAGCTTTGCCCCAGAGGATAGGTTTTTAATCAATAAGCGGCAGATTGTATATGATTAAGAGATAGGTTTAGGGTCTAATTTCAGTTTGAAATCAAGGTATGAAATTCATTGTTTACCTTGAAAAAGCCGGTAGGGCATATAAATAGAAAATTATCCCCCAGAGGAAAATCTTTTAATATTACATTAAAGTCTCATTTGCG